AAACCCCCCCAAACAAAACCAAAACCAAAACAAACAACAACAACAAACACCAAAAAACAAAAACCCTTCCCACTCGTTGGGTCTGGGTATTGGTCACGCCACTCCCTTCACTCAAATCCTTCACGCACACTTTTCTGAATTCAGTAAATTCAAGCTATTCCAAGTATACCATACCTGTAGGAAACGACCTCTCTGACTGACTTATATGGGCTTTGTTCTCATTACTTGCACTTGCAAATCCAATTTTGAAGTTCAGAATGTTTATTCATCATGAGCAGTCTGAGCAGAGCAATACATGTACTAGAAAATTGATGAAATACCCATTTCTACTAATATGCACTAACATGGACTTCCGTATTCAGACCCACAAAAACGTGCAAAATATGTTTCTTTTACCTACTGGTTGGCACTCAAGCGCCTCCATAGAGTAGACACAAATTAGATCATTTTTTAGACGAGCTGCTTCAACAGTAATCGTTTTATGCCACTTGCAACACAATTAGGTCATATAAATGCCGAAGAAGAGAGGTGTTACAAGAGAGTAACAAACACAAAAAAGGAGGAGAGATAAAAATGACACATGTTTGATAGGAAAGAAGAAGCAAACCATACTAGAGCATCGGCCAACCACCTCACAAAGATATTGTAACAGAAATAACTTTCCGAAACGGGAGTCAAACTCGTGCCTTCAGCATGCTGTGACAACCATCCTAACTTTTACACCACAGACGCTGGAAAAGCAAGACAAACAAAGACAAACTAAGGGGCAGAAAAAAAGTAGTAACCACCCATGGCATCTTTCAGCCACCCAAACCAATCTCCACCAAACAGTACAAGTACAAGACACAATCATAAAAACTATGACATAGCTTCATCAGGTCTAAAACCTCCATATATAAAGTCTGAAAAAGTCAGCTGCTCTTTATATCTTTTCTTTATTCTTGTTCAAATTTTGTACAAGTTAAAAAAACCTTCCATTCAACAATTACACAAAATCACAATCCCAGTGCACCATTAATGTGTAACATGTGAGAAATAAAAAGGGTCCAAATCTACACAAATTAAGAGATATCGCTACCTCAGAATTACAAAGTTCTATCTGACATTTTCGGCAGTTTGATTTAATTACTACGACATAAGTCAGAAACCAAATGCTCTATCTGCTCTATCAAAAATCGTAAGATTATTCTGAGTCCTTATCAAGATATTCAAAGAATTGCATTAATTAGAAAAAGCTTGAAATATTGTGAAACTCAAAATTATTTTGGGAACCCAATTTTTTCCAACAAATTTCTCGATACTAGGAACAGAGCAGATAGAATTTTGTAATTCTGAGGTTGTGAAATGTGTACCCGTAAATCAAAACTAGAAAAAGGAAAACAGTACGTCTAGATGTCATTCAGTCTGGACCCTACAAAAGAGTTCTTTTGACAGAAACAAAAACTTCCCTGCATCCACCCTGTAAGGGTCAGAGGTAGAAGTCTGTGAGGGCGTCCGCAAATTTTTGAACATTTTTAATGTGGTTCATCAAACTCGTGAAAATATTTAATATTTTGTAGTCAATTTGACTTCCTCCAATAATCACCTACATTTTCTGAAAGTTCAATGGTTTGGCCAAACTTTGTACATGAACCCCCCCC